TCATGCGCTCGCGAGCGTCTTTCAGTGTCGGTATGGGAGCGAAGCGGGCAGAACGGGAGGTGGCCGTTGCGGTGGCTCCTTGAAAATCTGATGCTGGGTCGAGATGGAGCTGTGTTTGTAGCGATGCCCGCGACGCTGTCCGATGTTCTGGTTGCTGTCGTCAGCATCGTGTCACTTCTGGTTAAGATACGCGTCACGTGTTGCTCACCGACTTGACAGGTGAAGTCGAAATAGTTTGTGTCTGGAAATTGAACGGGCTGGCAGCTGTCGATGGCCTGTCGTCGACAGATTGGTCCATGTCGGCCATGGCTGGAGGAGGGGGAGTGGAGGAACGCGAGGTGAAGGCGGCGATACAGAGCAGATGGTAGAAAAGCCGCCCTAGGTCTTCTATTCACCACGCGGTTGCATAGGCTTGCCAGTCAGGGGGCACCGGTGTCGTAGCCCAAGCATGCGCTCGAATTGAGGTCACAGCAGCGCATGAGACTTGTTTTTGTGACTTGGATGGAGAGATGCGAGAGGTTCTTGTCATCGGCTATCTGGCTGTTCTGACAATGCGCCCATGTTCCATGCTAAGATCCAAACAGGCAAGTGGGAGTGTGGCTGTCAACTTGCACAGGGGTCGTTGATTTGTATGGTTGCATCGGGCAATTTCGACATCGATAGCAAAGCACGTTGTCATCCGCAGGAATCTTTGCCTTGCCTTGCATGCGTTCAAAACACGCTGCTCGACAATCGAAAACAGAGGGCATAGCGATTTACTCTCTCACTACTCCCGTTCATGAGCTTGACTCTAGCCACACTGGATACGTTGCCCGTTCTCGATCGGCAGCTTAGTCAGCGACGTCAAGATAACCGCGTTTGGCTTTGGCCGGTTTGCGTCTTGGGGACACCAAATTCACGTCAATACTACTTGGTCACTTATGCCGACTTACTGATAAGACAACCCAATCTGTTTCCTTCAACATCAGCAAGCCTCACGAAGCGTCAACCCTTCCGGTTTGGTTCACATATATGGAGCGTCCCATCGATGGCGAAGAGTCTAGGCCAGGCTCGGCAAAGGGGCTTGAGAACCACCCAACGTCCGCTCATCGCAAGGATCCAGGACATTCACTCGTTGCCAGCTCCCACCGACGTTCCGGCTCTGGAGCTAGTCTTTTTTCCAAGTTATCGTTCATGAAACCAACAGCGTCGGATGCCAGGACGAGGCATGAAGGAGACGGCGAAAGCGTCGCCTCAAACTCCTCCTCACCTCGCGCCATGGGCACTATTGTGCAGCAGCAAAAATCACGTCGCCGAACTGGTTCCCTTAGAAAGGTTGCTTTGCTCGGCAGAGGGGCACAAAGAGAGCGTCGCGACGCGAAGCAACTCACGATTGATATTGGTCACGCTACCAGTCGCAGGCCGGAGGAGGCAAAGCCAGCGGCTGATTCGACGTCTGAGCATTCTGCTTTGGGACTCAGGGTAACAGACGCCGCCATGCTACCATACAGCTTGAGTGAAGTCACCACCAACAAGACAAGCGAGCCTCATATCCCAAAGCCATCACTGAGGTCCCCTCAAGCTCCCGAAGGCGAGCTGAGCGTTGCCAGCCCCACTCGCTCCACCAACTCGACGACAGATGAGGATGATCTCCCACACATGTCGAACCGCGGCCTGGCAACGTCGCGACCTGAGTCAGACCCCTCACTTTCATCTGGTTCAGATTCGTACTTTGGAAGTCGAGCGGGTGAGCAACCACTCCGGAGAAGGTCTCCTCTGGCGTACAGCGGCATGGCGAGTACGCCCGTACCAGCCGCCGGCTCGGACTGGGACTACACCGATACGGAGTGGTGGGGCTGGGTAGTGCTGGCCGTGACGTGGGTTGTCTTCGTGGTAGGTATGGGATCATGCCTGGGCGTCTGGAGCTGGGCATGGGATGTGGGCACAACACCTTACGCGCCTCCCGAGCTGGAAGATGATCCTACGTTACCCATCGTGGGGTACTACCCAGCACTCATCATATTGACATGTATAATGGCATGGGTTTGGGTGGTTGTGGCTTGGGTGGGCATGAAATATTTCCGACATGCAAAGATAAGTGGCGATTGAGCATGAATCCGAACCAAGGAGATGGAAGGGGCGTCAGGATGTAGAACTCGGCGGATACTGAAAGCCTACCATGGAAATCTAAACGAACATTGTGCACAACGCGACACTTGGAATGAGGCCAGACCGCGCAACATGGCAGTTGGTCCCAGAGGGCGGGATCTTTACTTGGCCTGACGCCGCCCCTGACGATGTGGCTGGACCTCGTAAGCGCTGTGAGCGTTCAGAGCGGCAAATGGGCGGCGCGAGTACCAATCGGCAACAAAGCCGCTGGATGAACGAGGATGAAAATGTCCTCGGGCGGCAGAAACAGCGGCAGCGGCAATGACAACAAACAGTGGTCACAGTCGATAGGTGATGGACGCGTCTGTGTTGTTGTGTCGGGCTCAAGTCTATCGACCTGTGAAATTCGGCGACCCTGTCGGCCAAGACACAGCACTTGCCGAACGCATCTGAAGAATGGAAGCCGCGATGATGCGCAGGGGTAGAGTCTTGCGTTCGAATGATGAAATTCGCATTGCAAATAGGCAGCGTAAACAACTAGTAGTAGGAACCCGGAAGGTGCCCTAAATGAGACTTGACACAGTTCACTTATAGCTCACTCACCTTGATGGTCGATCAACTCAGATCATTGGATCGAGCCGCCGATGGCGACAAGGACAAGGCAGCCGAAGCCGTGACAACAGCACAGGCATCCATCCCCCCCTTAGCAGCAGCCTTGGCATGCTTGGGTGCTTGTGCCCCTCTAGATTGCTTACTGCGTCTCCCACCATATCACTACTACCAGCGGCCCGGCTGACAGGTGCCTCAAGGGGCAGCCAAGGTACCTCCATCCCGATCGAAAGGTGCGGGTTTGGCCGCGCTTGCCATTCGAAATTTCAGTGATACACTACCTCTGCCCCACAATTGATGCACTGTATTTATAATGCACCAGCGCTGTGCTCAGCGGCATCCACAGGCGGCACGCCCACAGTCTCAAGACGTTGACCACTGGCCTTCTGAAAGTACCGCACCAGCGTGCCTCCTTGCACACGCCGCCCACCCCCCCACCCACTCAGCTGACGCCAGGGCCTAGTCACCGAGTTCTTTCCAGTGATGGTGAATGGAAGCAGCCTGTGCCCAGCCCAGCCGTTCAACATTCGCCTCCCAGGTCCCGCTTATTGGCTCCTCCCTGACTTGTCCTGACCTGGGTGGCCCAGCCCGGACCCCAACTCCCATTACCCATCCCTCACTGCTCACCCTCGTGTCTATCGTGTGTGTATGGTGCATGCAGAAAGACAGACGAGAA